AAAAGTGATCAAAGACTTTGAAATAGCATTTTAATAGAAGAATGAAGGCAGAATACTGATTCTAAGCAGTTGAATGAGAGATTAAGAAAGGGAGGTAGTGAGTACTTTTTGATTAAGGAAAAAAATTGACAGCACTTAAGGTAGAATTGATATAACCTTCTTTTCTTCTATGTTTTCACACTTTCTTATCAATATCTATAAAACATGAATTTCATCATTTTTTAACAGGTAACCATAATTAGACATCATTATTAAATTTACAGCTCTTTAAGAAAAGAGATAAGTTCTCAATCGAATTCAGATGTTTATTTTTTATGTAGTTCTATATTAAATGGAACTTTATAGGTAGTTATACATCAATGCAACCATGGGCTTTTATAGTCCATACTGCATACATCTGATATTACCTCTTATTTTCCTTAGGTTCTACGCATTTTGGATCCGGTTACTTGTACAGAGAGCTCATCTGATAGTGCATTTTTTGAGTCTTCACCAGCCACCTTACTTGCTACAAAGAAAAATATTGGACGATTTCACCCCTATACTAGATATGAAAATATAACCTTCAATTGCTGTAATCACTGCCAGGGAGAACTTATTGCCCTTTAACATTCAATATGTTGGAGGCATGGTACAGGTACTTGCTTATTACCCAAGAGTCATTATTATTTTAGAGCTGGAGTTCTTATAACTCTAAAAGTAATATCACTTCCTATTTATATAATGTATATGCCCAAAGATGTTTTATGTATTAAACTCCAGATTACCCTTTCTTAATAAATATCTCAGGGTAAGAAAAGAATGAAATTTTTTAGATATATTTAAAATTAGAGAATACTTTCCAAGCAATACACAATGCTTTTCCTAAAGGACTTTAAAAGAAAAAGATTCTTTAACTTTCTTTTAGGCCCTAAATTATTATTTCTCTTACTGGATGTTTTATATGAATAGGTTTAATTATGATACGCTAAAACAAGGATAGGCAAACTACAAATATGGCCACACTCATTCATTTAGTATTGTCTAAGCTGTTTTTGTACTACAACAGCAGAGTTGAGTAGATGCAGCAGGCCTTGTATAGCCTGCAAAGCCTGAAATATTTACTGTCTAGTCCTTTACAGGAAAAATTTTCTGACCTCTGCTCTAAAGTAATAGTAGATAGGGGCTATGGGAGGGTCCTTTCCCTTTATAGTAATATTTTGAGCTACAAAAGAGGCTCAC